TGCTGACCTACAGTTCACTTTGTGGAGCACAAACAAATACATTGGAAGGGTGAAGTAAATAGTATGGCAACAGAATGATTGCAGTACCCTCGAGCTCTAAAATGCCTGAACTCCCTGATTTTGATGGCATACAGTAGATTTTGCTGATGCAGAATTGAGACCTGTAACACATAATCACTGCTGCAGAATTTAGTCTAGCTGGTGACAGAGCCCTTTGCTCCTTGGGCAGGAATCAGGCCTGTTGTGTTTGGCATTGAAAGTCTAAATTTAGACTTGAGGGTTGTTGTGATGGGGAAAAAAAGAAAAGATAATTAAAGTGTTTGCTGAGGGGGGCTGGGGAAGAAACCTGGATCGGATTTCTATGGCATTACCTGTGCCTCTGTTTTGAAGAGGAGTCAAGCAGTTAGGCTCCAGACACTGAATTCCTATAAAGTTGCCGAGTGGCTAGAGTCTAATGTAACACACCTGTGAGCCATTTCCATTTAACTAAATGGGATTTGCACACATTTGTCTGAGAATAGGATTTAGTCTCTACTGTTCTAATTATTTGCTGTTGGTTTTGACTAATTAAAAGAACTTGTAATGGGGAACCTTGAAGATTATGAAAGATGTGAATATGTGACAGGAACCAGAACTACGTGTCTAAGTAATTTTATCTAGGTAGGAGTTTGTCTTCACTTGCAAAAAACTGCCTTTTTCTTTCTTTTTAAAAGAACTTCTGAGTAGCTAATGCACATAAACAGTCTCAAATAAAACGCAATAAAGCCAAGCTCTGCCTGAGGTCAACTTTGTTGAATTTTCCTCATGGTAAATTTTCCTTTGTGTTCAGTGTGTTTTAACTTTGGGATAGTTCACATGCTTTAGGTACCTCGAGTTGAAAAAACCCTACAACATAACAAAACCAAAAAAACAGCAAACAAAAAAAACCCACAACCCATAGCTTTTAGCAATAAAAGCAAGTCGAAAGATACTTGCATTTAACATAAGATATTATTTTCCCCTTGGTAACATCACCAGATATAAAATATTTAATAAACGTACACTGGGGCACAGGGAGAACTGGGTATTTTTTCCTCTGCTTAGTTGTCAGTGTCCTTTCAGACTGAAAATGGGAATACAACTTGCTATTTTAACAGCCTCATGCATGCCCTTGTGGCAGTCTGTAAAAACTATTCCACTGAGTTCAGTAATATTTCTGCTGTAGTATTTTTCTCCAGCACGCCAAGCTGGTTCGTTGGCTAGAGGTAATGGAGCAATATCTTTTCAGTGCATGTAAAAAATCTCCACAGAAGATCACGGAAAGTAGTCTCCTTCATTATTACCCTCTCTGCAATCAAGGAAAGTCAAATAAGTGGCTGTATGTGAGGAGCTTGTTTTGCAGTAAGCTAAAATAAACACTTGACATGCTAATGAAAGCAATTTTATACTGAACCTCTAAAGTATTAACGGTGTCTGTTATTATGCTATTAGATACATTGTTCCCTGCTCTCAGACCATCCGTAGAGAAAAGCAAGTGTGAACTGCAGAGCAGATCCTCCTGTCAATGGTTGTATTCAGCAGTTTTTCATTGTAGTGCAGGTTATTGTCTGGGGAAATGGATAGACTGGATACATGGAGAAACATTCTTTACTCCCAGATTCCCTGCAGTATTTCAGGTTTGACATGTGCAAACACGTAGTGTAATTTTTTTTTTTTTCCTTCCCCTTTTGCCGGGTCCTGGGAGAGTAAAATCAGTCAGTGATAATTTTGCCTTTTCCCTCGGTCAGGCGCACTCAGTGATTGAGTGATTGTGAAGTCTCAGGTGAGAAAAATAGGTTTGGCACTAAACAAAACTTAGCATGTCTTACTTCAGTTAGCTTCACAACACAATCCTAAAGTAATTGCACAGCCAGAATGGCAGTGCTTGTCACAGCATAGCAGCCACGAGTTAGAACAAATGCCGCAGGTCACCTGTTCTCATCCTACTGATTATCACCAAGCAAAAGAAAAAAATTTTTCCATAAGTCTAACAAAACAAATATTTAAAATGTTCCTTATTTCTCTTAACGACCTCCCCAAATGTCCTCCTATATATGCTGAGCAGCGAGGTGTGTGCAATAGGTTTTCTTGATACTGAGAGAAGCAGTTTGCCCTCTCCTTCCTTATGGGATTTCTTATCGAGATACAAAGCGGAGCCGGCCCAAGAGCTGCCCCATCCGTTCCTACTGTGGTCTGCAAGTGATCAATATTGTATCAAAGACGACTAATACATCTAATAAAAGCACCATAAATGCCTGATCTTTTCCTCCTCCAGGAGAAAGCCAATCAATCCATGTAACAAAAGCCATTTCTGTGCCTCCTGAGGTCAGGATCCTCCTTGCCCTCCCTCAAAGGATATGAAGACAGAGCTGGAGCTCTGCGAGTTGTCTTCCTTCAGCTTTTCTCATAAGCTTCTCCTAAAATGAATGACGAGATTCTTCCTGATTGATAGGTTGTTGGTCTCACGTGATCACCTTAGTTGAGGCTCAGTGTATGTGTGAGGAGCTGATCTGTTGGAATTGCTCGTCCAGGATGAACTTTGTGTGCTTTCTGTTCACTTGGTGGGAAGGAGAACAGTTTGATGGATAAGCCAAGCCAGGAAGGTCAAAATGAACACAAATCACCTGTAAGATAGTTGGTAGAGTTGATTCCTTTGCCTGATGAGGTCATCACACTATCGACCCCTTGGCTTTCAAGGGCAACATCAAATGTCTGAAATGTGGCTTGGCAGTGTCAGGAGTCCGAGGCTTACCAGCAAACTCCTGCCTCACTCAGCGGACACTCTGTCCATGGGAGATGTCTGTCTAGTAATTGGAGTACAGAGTAGAAATGAGGCAAAATGGAGCCACGTCTTATCTCGACAACTCGTTGGTTCTGGACGCTCTGTCCATGGGAGATGTCTGTCTAGTAATTGGAGTACAGAGTAGAAATGAGGCAAAATGGAGCCACGTCTTATCTCGACAACTCGTTGGTTC